AAAATAAAACACACTAGTTATACATAATAAAAACCCCACATTATTGAAAGGATATTCCATTAGGATAGTTTTGAGGGGAGAGTGAGAACCAAGAATTCAAAGAAAAAAAAAGAGGAGACTGTCATGTCTTTATGAAAAGTAAAAAAGTTTCAGATGCCATGGTTTGACATTTGTAAATTTATATATTATTCAATATATATGTTTCTACAACAAATCCTGAAGGTAATCTGGAAGTATCTTTTACTCTGTTTGGGTAACCCCTTGGATTATATTACCAATTACAATTTTGATGAGGTATCTAGTGTCTGTAATGGACACAATTTTAGAAACCTAACCAACCTTGCCAGGGATGTAGTCAGATTGACTGGATGTTGTTAAAACCCCACTCCAAGAGAAAATGGGACACACACAAACACAAGCCAACATAAACACATTCTGGATAAATAAGCAGGAGGATTAATATCAAAAGCTGTTTTTACTTCTAGCTGATTTGATGGCTGATATTTTCATTTAGCATTTTAGATGGGTAAGTCCTCTTCAAATTTCTCTCGTAATCCATGTTAGCGATGAGGCTCAGTTGTGTTACTTGTGAAAATACAGCTGTTGCAAGCTTAGAGACCTGAACGATCATCAAAGACAACAATGATGTGTTGGTATGAAGGCCTCCTCTTAATCTGTTAAACAAGGATAGGAAATTGGTTTAGCATTAATGATATGAATGAGGAAAGTCCTTTTGTCTGTTGTCTTAGAACACATAGCAACAGGCACCAAACCAGCTCCACTGTATATCTGACAATAATAAAAACAATAAAAACAATAAATAAAATAAAAACAATAAAAACAACTCTTAACCAGAACAAAGAACTGCAAAGTGTGTAAACCTGACAGTTAGATGAAAATCATTTCACTGAAATGCAAGTATGAAAACACAAACTTTATTTTTGATGCTATGGTTTACTGTGCAATTTTCTACACTAACAGACCCTCCAAGCTCCACTTTGCACTCCAATGTGTTGAATCAAATTCTAATATTTTAGTTTTTATATCACTTAGCAGGTATTTGATGCACACATTCAAAACAAGCAAAAGAGAGCAACAACAACAACAACAACAAAACTATCTGTATAAATACAATACAATGTGCCATTTTTTAATTAGGGAATTTTCTGTATATTTGTTTAAGGTTTTGTTTATTTGTTTTTGTTTTTTTCTTTGCTGCACCTGAATGTGCAGTGTTTATATTTGCCATGGATTCTTTTTCCACTGTACTTTTTAACCACACATTTGTCCATTTATGGAATTATCAGTTTAAAAATATAGTGATTTCCACTGTAGCTGTTAATTCAGCCAACAGGAGTCGTGAAGTTTCTTTAACAGGTAGATTTGCATCGTCGTTAATGTGAAATGTCACCCACTGCCTTTGTGATAATAATAATAATTTAGATTTTCATAGCATCTTTCAAGAAAGAAAATTAATAACCGGGGGTTTAATGGACAAATGTTACTCCTGTTGCATTCTACATGATGGAAGTAGTAACCTCTGTTTATAAAAAAGGACTTGATAACTACAATGTGCTAAAGTTCATCACAATTCTGACTTTTATTAGCTTGTTGTTCTTCTTGAAACTCTAATTATTGTTTAATTTCCATTGTGTGCGCGTGTGTGTGTGTCTGTACGGGTTCTTATACTGGTGGGGACCAGAATCCAGGCCCGCACAGGGTTGAAGACATTTTTCACATTCAAAATGTGAAAAAGCAGCTGGGAAAGCATTATGTCATTGGGATGTCCCCACGAGGATAGCAAACCAGACATCTGTCTATGTGTGTGATCTTTGTGTGTGCCAGATATCTGTTTCACTCGCAACCTTCTGCACCTGCTTGTAACTTATATGACAGTCCACTACCACGGACCAGGTGGCGTGTCAACTCTCACCTTCCATCTCCTCCCAGGTGTCACTCAGTCCACCTTTCTCCCTTTTCACTCATTGCCTTGGACGCCTCTCATTATGATCATAATCTGGGTCATATATTCATTTTTTGAGGTTCCTGTTATAGAAATTTCCTGGAGAAAACAACCTGTTCTAGTAAAGCACCCACAAAGTCATCTGAGGAGCAAGAACTCTCAAAGAGTAATCATCTGTTCTCTTCAGCAGCATTTAATTTGAAATGTCAAAAGCACTGCTTGCTTTATTGTTCCCACTATGAATATTTATATTGTATTTAGGCACAGTTGGTGTGGAGCACCTGCAAGTTCATTGTAGATGTACAATGACAATAAAGGGCTATTTAATTCTAACCTTGCAAAATAACACAGCATTTGTGATGTGACACAGGAGGAAATTCAGCTGCTGCTAACAGGAATTTCTTGCAAATTCAAGGTTAGAAAGACAGTGTTGTTAATCATCTTCATTTTATCCTCTGTTTTCAAGATGAATGTGTAAAGGCACACTACAACAATCACACAGTCTGTCAGCTCAGGAATGTGGTCGTGTATTCTCTGGTTACGTTTATGTCACTCAGAGACACAATTGTTGCACCGACAGTCATCATACCAACTTACTCTAATAGCATATCTTCACTCAACTACTCATAATCAAGGCACAACTATATGATGAAACTGCTTTCTGAAGTGTATATATGGGGGAAAAAAATCCAACTTTAAGTTCTATTCAATGCGTTTTATACATTTCTCATTTCTCATGAGGTGTGTGATATCTTGTAAATTTGCACTTAAGATACATTAGTAATATATAAACATTTTCTTGAATGTCTGTATTAGATATACAGATGTACACTTTTACAGCCTTCAGAATGCCTTCATTCTTTGTAGCATGGATTCAGCGTGGTGCTGGGAATACTCCTCAGTGATTTTGGTCCATATTCAGATGATGGCATCATACAGATGCCACAGATGTGGTGAATGAACACCCATGATGGGAATTTCCCATTACATCCCATCGCAAAGGTGATCTAATGGATTGAGATCTGATGACTGTGCAGGGCACGAGCACAGAGAACTCATCATGTTCAAGAAACCAGTTTGAGATGATGTGAGCTTTGTGACATGGAGTATTTTCCTGCTTTAAGCAGCTTCATGGGCACACTCTGGTCATAAAGAGATGGACATGGCCAGCAACAATATTCAGGTACAAGCTGGCATTTAAACAATTCTCAGTTTGTTCTAAGCCACACCAATATATCACCACCAGCAGCAGCCTGAGCTGTTCATGCCAAACAGGGGGCTTCCATGGTGTTTAGCTAAATTTGACTCGACCATCCAAATGCTGGTATGGCAACAGCACCGCCTACAACTGCAAAGCTCTCCAGAGAGTAGTGCGGTGCTCTGAACGGATAATTGGAGGTGAGCTTCCCTCCCTCCAAGACATCTACAGGAAGCGCTGCCTGAGGAAAGCGGGGAGGATCATCAAGGACTCCAGTCACCCCAGCCATAAACTGTTCAGACTGCTTCCATCAGGAAGGAGGTTCTGCAGCATCCGGTCCCGTACCAGCAGACTGAGAGACAGCTTTTTCCATCAGGCCATCAGACTGCTGAACACGTCATAGACACCTCAGGTTCACTACTGGAACTTCAACATTATGCACTCCATACTGTACAGTAATGCCACTTGTTTTGCACATATTCAACTCTGTATATTTTATATATTTTATTATTATTATTATTATTATTATTTTATTTTTTTTTTTTTTTTTTTTTTTTTTTTACTATTCAATTTGTAAAAATGTGTATACACACACACACACACACACACACACACGTAGGAAAATATTTAGTATACACATCCAGAAATGCATACACTATTATATATTGTACATATATTTATTAGTTTCAGGTTGGCCATTCTTGTATTTTGCTCGTTTGTGTTGTTGTGTTTGCACATCTCTGTTGCTTGTGGGGCTCGCACACAAGAATTTCACTCGCATGTGCTGTGCCAGTGTGCCTGCACATGTGATGTGACAATAAAAGTGATTTGATTTGATTTGATTTAAAGTAGAAAATGAGACTCATCAGACCAGCAATATTGTCAGTCTTTGGTTTGGTTTTGGTCAGCACGTCCAGATTGTCGTCTCAGTTAACTGTTGGTAGTCCTGTGCTGCCTATTTAAACTTCAAGAGGTCACAATCAGAGCACGTTGCTATTATGTTATGTTGCAGCAATTCTGGAATACTGGGTATGCAATCATTAACATCATAAAATCTGCAAAAGTAGAAACTTTTAATCACTCACATGATTGTGGTGTCAGTGTGTGTTTGTATCGCCGTTGTTGCCGTTCACCTTTGCACCCTGTTAAGTGTCTTTTCCTTTTCACTGGCTGTGATTTGGTTTCTGTTCACTTCAGCCTCATTCACTTGATGAGCATCATGAGGATTCGTGAAATTCTGCTGATAAGTGAAATTTATTTAAAATTATTTTTATTATACAGACACAATATTTTGTATTATTGTTTGCCAGATCTGGAGAATCCAAAAATACCTACATGGTTAAAAAAAATAAAAAATAAAAAAAGAGACCACCAGTGTTGATAACTATATTGCAAGTGGGCACAATAGACTATTTCACTGAGTCCACATTTAGGCCAACACCTAATGTGCAGTACAGTTCAGATGATGTACTTTATCGTACTGGTTTATTTCACTGAGATGAGCTGTTATATCTACAGACAACAGTATCAGGTGATAGCAGACTTCTCCATGTGAACCAGAGACTGGCATCCTGTTGGTACCTCACAGACTACCAGTGTTTGTGTGGCACTAGCATTACAGTGAAAGCAGAGACTGCTTAATGAAAGTCATGACGAAATCTTATATAACACTGGGGATTTTCTTACCTGAAGGGGGAACACAGAGGGAATACAAAAAAGTTCACTCCTCTCTCTTTCACCAAACATGCACACCTATGTATCTCCATTCACACAAGCACAACTTTCTATAAACACACCAGTGCACATAAAACATGAGAAGAAAACATTTAAAATCCCAGGATGTATTACATCTTCATTACAGTAAATCGTATGTTTTCATACATATAAATACAGTGTAAAGGTCTTCGTAATGAAATAAACTCTGGCTTATTGTTTTCATGAGTATGCTGTTATCATTTATCAGTTTACCAGCTGAACAAGTGATTACCTGTATCAACAAAAACGGGCATCAAACCATACAGTTAGTTATCATTATGACCGCAAAGCTGATTGTCAAACACACAGAAAGTAACATAGTGACAAGAAAAAGAAGTGAATTGCTTGGATTCACTTACATTTACATGAAATTAGAATATGGGTAGATCTTCAGGTTATCGTTCCACTATTATTATTATTATTATTACTGCTATACAATATGATGCAAAATGTGAACCCTTATGCTTATAAAATTAGCAAACATGTAAGTCTCAGTCATACAGGCCTGGAGAGCGATCGGTGCAAGGGGCAACATTTTTTCCCAGTAATCTGTGATTGCCAGGGAGGTCAATGACCAGTCTAGACCTGCGTGACTTTAGGAATCGATTTCACAATGATAGCCAACAACGTCCACTTGCCAGGTGGTTGGAGAGTACACATTTCCCCAGTGATTTCAGGTTGTTGCTGACCTGTCTCTAGCCTGTGCAAGTGGTGCCTAATCCAGCAAAGCTCCATCTAAGGTGCAACATTTTTTATTTAAAATTGTCATGTACACCAAGCTACATATAGACATTACTGACATTACTGTCAATAATGTGAGAGTCTGTGTCTGTAGGCCTATTATAAGCCAATCATCATCAATTTCTAATTAATGAAAGTATCCTATATTGCCAGGATAGTTCCCACCTGATAAAACTGAACCCGGGCAAACAAGGGAACAAGTAAATCTAAGCAAAGCCCAATTAAAACCCAATAAAGATCCTGATGCATGAGTGCAGTTTAGTAATAAGCTAATTGTGTAAAAACCTTCAAAGATCACATTGTGTAGAAAACCAAGTAATTCCGATGGGCTCACTTGTTGTTGCCACCGTATAATCTCATTTTCATCATATGCTCAACCACCACGCTCTAAAATGTGTCCAAATTTGGATGTTATGTATTTTGAGATTAAAAAAATAAATAAAATCACATCCTTGGATCCAGATTATCTCAATTTTTCTTTCCAGAATTTATTTTTATGAGCCACTTTTCAAAGACCCACCTCTATGTTACGTTGCAAAAGCACAGTTTTTGAGTTATGGGATAACAGATCCCTTTATAAGAAATTTTCTTTGGCTTCTTTCATCTCTCATTCATATTTTCTTTGACACAGAGAGAAATTCTCTATAACTGAAGTTTCTTTGTCTACAATAAGACAGTGAATGAAAGGAAAAAAAAGGATGAAATCCAAATTTGGGAGAACTGATGTGACCCCATAAAGAGTGTAGATCCATTACACTTCACATAACTTCTTTCAAGATTCATTCAGATCCAGAATATTATGTTGGACACTCCTTTTCTTTAAATAACACACAAATGCATGAAAAGGACAAAATGGTTATAACCTTTATAATACCAGTCAAATATGAAACCAAAAATACTGAGCATATATGTGTGACAGACAGAGGTATTACAGTGGAATTATATATGGCATATTCAACAGTATCCCAACATTGCATGATTTAAGGCACTCCATTACAATACAACAAATAAAAACAACAACTATATGAAGTGGAATCAGTCTGACTGTGAGTTGTGGAGAATCCTTACTCGGTCAACCCAGTGAGAACGAATGAATACTTCACAATTATGATTCAGTTTTTGTGTAAATAAATAAATAAATAAATAAATAAATAAATATGTGATGACTATAATCTAGACAATAAGCACAACACAAATTAGTCTTTGAAGACACTTAGAGGAAAGGAGGGACCTTTGTTTGTTCAGAACTGGCCAGCAATTCAGTTTTGCAGAGTTGCAATTTTAATCGGACAATATAGAAGATTTCAGTTAAGCAGTGAGATGAAAAGTGGGCCGTGTGAGGCATTGCAGACACTGTAAATATTATATAAGCATCAGTTTTTGAGCAGGAGAGAATTTATTCCAATAGGATGAAATGTTGAATTATCAGAGATGAATAAAATACATTAACAATGTGACAGTTAAGAATTTTCTTTACTTTAGATGAACTTTAAATGGTTTAATACTTTATGGCCCATTAAAATGCTGTTGGAAAGCTGTGTTAAACATCCTCGAGGACAAAATCACAACATGTTGTAAACATTAGGATTACTGGCCAATGCAATGAACAGAAGGTTTCCTTTAAAAGGATCTGTTAGACACACACGAGAATGAAGAACGTTTCTCGGGTGTGTGCAACCTAAACATGAAACGTAATAACATGAATTCCTAAACATTAATATGGGGAACTCATTTTCAAAATGTCATTTCCATATTGGACAAAAAGAGGTAAATGTGGTACAACCAGTTTATAATTAAAAAACATATTTTTCACAAGGTGCAGTGCAGATCTAATGAAGCCAACTGGCCACTCGTAACAGTGACTATTTAATATTTACTGCTTTCACCTCCTATTGAACAGTGTTCTTCTGACGTCAGTTCCCTTTGTCACTCTGCCAGATCCCGTTGGCTTTATTGAGCGAGGTGTTGCTACCCTGTGTGGTATCCTTTATGGCTTTCTCGACAGCATCAGCCAAGGGCAACTTGTCCTCTGCTTCTGCCTCTCTATGGTAGAAATAGTTGAAGTTGGAAACAATGACGGGAACAGGCAAGGCAATAGTCAGCACACCTGCAATGGCACACAAGGTGCCCACCATCTTACCCCCCATGGTAATGGGACACATGTCTCCGTAGCCTACAGTGGTCATGGTAACAACAGCCCACCAGAAGCCATCAGGTATGCTGGCAAACACTGTATTTGGCTCGTCTACCTCAGCAAAGTAGATAGCGCTGGAGAAAAGGATAACTCCAATAAAGAGGAAAAAGATGAGCAACCCGAGCTCACGCATGCTGGCCTTCAGAGTCTGTCCCAGGATCTGGAGCCCTTTAGAGTGACGAGATAGTTTGAATATACGAAACACCCGCACCAAGCGGATGATACGTAGAATGGCCAAAGACATGTTCTGCCCTGAGCTTTCTGCTGGAGTTGTGGCCAATTCTGTAATCACAGTGACAAAATAAGGGATGATAGATATGATGTCAATAATGTTCATGAGGTTGTGGAAAAACTCTCTTTTGCTAGGGCAGACCACAAATCGCACACACAGCTCAAAGAAAAACCAACCAATGCAGGCAGTTTCAATGATGAAGAAAGGATCAGAGAAGGTTGTGGGCTTTACACCAGGCGGACCCACAGTTTGGTTAAAAGGTTGTACAGCTGTGGGCACAACTGGGTCGGTCTCATCTCTGAATTCTGGTAGTGTTTCCATGCAGAAAATAATAATGGATATGACGATGACAAGGACGGACACCAGCGCTACACCTCGTGCTGCATTGGAGCTCTCTGGGTACTCAAACAGCAGCCAGAATTGTCTGTACACATCATTACTAGGAAGAGGAATCTCAACGTCTTTTAAGAATCCTTCTTCTTCTCTGAACTGCTCCATAGCCTCGTTTCCAAGCTCATAGAACAGAATTTCATCTGCAAACACATCGAGGGGAACGTTAGCTGGTCGCCTAACTTTACCTCCTGACTGGTAGTAATATAAAATTCCATCAAAGCTGGGTCTGTTCCGATCAAAGAAGTACTCGTTCCTCATTGGATCAAAGTATTCCATCCTCTTCAAAGGGTCCCCTAGAAGTGTCTCAGGAAACTGGTCCAGTGTTTTAAGCTGCGTCTCAAAACGAAGACCGGCAATGTTGATGATGACTTTCTGATCTCCATCATCCAAGCCTCGTTTATCAACAAAGAGATCCTCACAGCACTCCTTAGCAAGCCGGTTAAAGATCATCTCACTTTCCTTGCTGCCCTCACTGCTTAGCAGCAGTTTAAAGTTTGAGATCATGCTAGCACAGCTGCTACGCCCCTTTCTAGTTGGAGTTGGCATCGTCGGGGACTGTGGTACTGTAAGTGTCTGCGGAATGGGTGAAGAGGAGGTCGATTCCCAAATGTATGGGGGTATAGGGCTGCAGTGGGAAGGTGTAGGTGTTAGGTCTGTGGCTCTTAGATGGTAGTTGCTGGTTGGGCTGCTGTGCTCTGGGGGCATGTCCACTGTGAGAGCTGTGGTCTCATCAGCATAGGTGTCCACCTCATCTCCAAGGTTGCCAGCAAGGTCATCCAGGCTCTCAAAGTCTACCAAGGCCACCTCCATGGCTTTGGTTCAGCCAGTGCAACACACAGACTGACAGATGGGAGGTTCACACACCAGAGTCAGCAGCTCCAGCAGCGTAGCAGAGCATTCAGGCTACAGTGTGACTGACGTAAATACAAAAACTCCTTCAACTTGTTTTTTAAAAATCCAGCTCCTGTAGAGTTGAAGAGGAGAGACAAAGATTATCAGTGTGTTTCTGTTAGCTGTGCAGAGCTCACCAAGGCAAGCATCAGGTCATTAGAATATGATAAACACAAATGCTAGTTTCTTGGAGAATTATTTGGAAACAGAAAGTGAGAGACATAGTTTAAGATGAAAAGAAAAGAAACTGGGAACCAGCAACGTTATCTACCAGCAATACAGCTAGAACATGGGGGAGAGAAAGAACAAAAACTAGTAAATTCTTTGCTGGTTCTTTCTTTTGCCTGCTGTGGCAGTGGCACTGCGATGGGTCATGCAACTTTGAAAACAGCAGACATTAAATAGGAGAGCAACTCAAGGGTAGCTACAGTAGGGCCTGACCCTTACATGTTCACATATCTCTGACTGATCAAATCATTATCAAATTGTTGACATAAACTTTACTACTATTCCTTTAAATAAGTAATACTAGTTAGCAATACATACTAACCAGTGCATATACTGGACACTGAAGTTATTTTAACAAACAACCTGAAATGAAAGAAAAGGGATGAGAGCTGCACAACCTGTCATGACCCCGAGGGTTGTAGGAAAGGAGGACAGTCCGAGGTAACTGGGACTCTGCATACATTAGTGCATAATTAACTGACTGTGCAGTGATAGCATGAGCCTAGTTTCTACCAGACGCCAAGGCTCACATTTAAACTCCACTGTGCCATATCTTTGGTCTTAGCTGTAAAAATAAGCTCTGTTCCAGCTTTGCTCTTTATATTTGTATTTACCTGTGTGTGTTTTTTCATCAGCATTCACATAGTATGAAATAGTGAGGTTGTGTGAAAGGTGTATTTGTGCCTGTCGGTGTGTGTGCCTGTGTGGGGTTGTACTGTATAGGTGTGTGTGTGTGGGTGTGCATGCATGTGTGTAACTGTGTGAATGGGTGCTAAAGCCTGCAGATGTTTAATTAAAGACTCCAGAGATGAGTCACCACCTAAAACCAGAGCCAGTGATACCAATCCTCCTGGGAGACAAAGAGAGAGCGAGAATAACGAGGATGATATGAAAATTATTGGGGAAGTGGATGTGGGTGGATGGGATGAGGACAGCATTGCAAAAAAAAGGGAATGTGTCAATGAGACAGAATGGGACTTGATAGGTGGGTGGATGGATAGACAGGATGATGAGAGAGGACCCCGACAAAAAAAAAGGAGTCTGATCGATCAAAATCAGGCAAAAAAATGGGACACAGAAAAGCATCATGGTGACTACTGTCTTTCACAGGAATAAAATATGAAACAAGGATGAACAAGGCCTAAATAATTCTTTAGGATTGCAAAATGTTAAAATCATGTGCTGAATCATACGATATGAAAAACACAAACTGGTAAATCATACAATGGAAGTCTCATTTCCTCCTGAGACCTCCTGACTGGAACAAGGTCAGTTTCCTCAATTGGGACTTTCTAATGATCTTGAAACAGAATCTGAAAATCAGGCTCAACTGTCAACTTAATACTCAGAAATCATTGACATAGACCTGCCAAACCATTTTATCAACGTTTTCTGCCCCAAACTAAATGTACTTATAGTGTTCATTTACATTATTGCACACTAAATTATTAGATGACTGATTCACAAAGCACAAATTAGGGCAATTTTCTCAGTTTGGCATTCTGTTTATTCCTAAACCAGGGTAGAATCTAAAGGAAGACATATGATATACAGTTAAATATGTTGCAACCACTCTAAAGTCAAATCTGCTTCCCGGACCCTTTAATGTTGAGGAATGAACAAAGTAATCAATAGCAACAATATTCCCAAACAGACTCACACAAAGCATATCAAACAAGCAACAAACTTTTACCTTCCTTTGCAAGAGGTTTTTATACCATCGGCATCAAAGAATAAAAACAAGAGTAAGAGAAAAAGGGTCCTGCACAAGTCCAGCCGCTTTACCAACTTTTCACTTGGGATCAGAATGGTCAGCCTCTCATGGACTACTTTAGGTAACCTTATGCTTGAGTAGAAACTAGAGCTGCGGCAAAGGGTACAGGCATAACGATGCGCACACACACACACACACACACACACACACACACACACACACACACACACACACACACACACACACACACACCGACCGCAGAAAAACAAAGTCAGCAGTGGAAAGCAAACTCATTCTCAATATTGTTAATTTTGCATGTGTGTGTGTGTGTGTTTGTGTGTGCATGCTTGAGTTAGATTGTTTCCCAAACCATGCATATCATAAGTTGTCTGTCAGGAATCTGAGTGAGGTACTCAAAGCTTTCTAGAGTGGAACATTGCAATTAGATCCTCAGATTTCTCCATGCTTGACTTGGGCCACACAGACACACACACACACACACACGTCTGTTGTTGCTATCCTCGTGGGGACATCTCATTGATATTAACCATCCAAATTGCATGCCTAACTCTAACCCTTTCCCTAAACCTAACCATAACCCAGTTGTAACCTTGACTGTAAAACCACATTTTGAGTGTGAAAAATGCCTTCAAACTCAAATTTAAGTAAGTTTTAAGTAAAATTTCAGATTTGGTCCCCACTAAGATAGGAAAACCGGTACACAAACACACACACAGGTCGTATCCATATCTGAGTTACTTACACTATCACAATCAATAATTGATTTTTAGCAACTCTCACATGTTCGACATCAGAGGAGTAGAAAGAGTGATGACAGAGTGACAAGGGCAGAGAAACCAAAGCCTCCATTCTCAACCAGCACAGCCTTCCATCTCCCACTGCCAACTCTGCAACGCTCACTGCTTCAATACTAATGTAACTATGTTTTTTCACTCTAGCATTCTGTATTACATATCCCAGCATTTGTGGGGAAAAAAAATAGGACATATGTGCTTATAGCTCAAAAACTACCGGTAGTAAAAAAGAAAAATAGACAATAAATGAACAAATATTTAATGGAAATGGAAGTGATAAATACTTCAAATATACAGAACAGTGAAAACAAAATATCTTGTGTCCCTGACTATGACAGGACATCGTAAAACAAAGGTTTCATATGGGCCAATGTTAATGCATGGTGGGTAACCATTTTTACCATGCTATTAATATTCAGGATATCATGTTGAGAAAAACTCACAAGTCCTTGTTACATATGATCCTTTAATGCTCACTGGAAAGCCCAGCACACAACAGAGAGACAGCACAGGGATTTACATCCAAGCTATGGTCATGCATGTTGCAATGACCAGTAACTTTAAGTAAGCTATCCCTCGTGACTTTTTCACATGTGTGTAAACATGAACAGATGTCAAGGCCGATCTGGCTTAATTGCAACCCAATCCTTTGCTGGTCAGATGAAAAAACATGTATATTTATGTCCAACATTTAACTTTGAGAGCTGCGTTCATTTGGTGAAATGTTTCTGTTTTAATAAAAACGAGTGTATGCTATACGAGCCACAGTCACTGAACATGTGTGAGACACATGCAGTGTTTCCACAAAACAATATCAACTTATTCAGGAAAACTGAAGCAAAATGTAACCTTCACACATGCACAGCGTGACAAGTCATGGGGGCTCTCTCAAATGTACTCGCCAACTCATTTCCAGCAAATTGGGTCTGTTTTAACAGCTTTGTCCAAATCTAAACATCGGAATAAAATAATATGTAGTAAAAACTATTAAAACAAAATGCAAGATTTACACTTTGTTAAAAGTTGTTTCAATTCCACTTAATTCCTGTAAACTAATTGAAATGTATCTCCTCTAAATGATGCATTGTAGGCTTTGACACAAACTGCGCTTTACTGAAGAACATTTGTGATCACAAGAATAAATTTACAGCTGAGCACAGATGTTTGCTCACCAGTGTGCACTAATTCCTGTTAACTTCCCTTTGTGTGTGAAGAACTAGCATAAAGCACTCTCTTCCTTTAAGGCCCAGTAAGTATGGTTGACCTTGCATGATGGACCCTGTGTTATGCTCCTGGGATGAGGTTGGTGGGGTGGTCTCTGGCTGTGTGAAGGCATTAGATGATATTTTTGGATCAGAGTTTTGACCCTATTAAGAAGATTAATGCAGGCTGAGCAGCTCAGTGCTATAAGCCGAGGGATCTCTTCCGTCAGATTAACACAGATACCAGTGAGTTCACACACACACACACACACACACACACACACACACACACACACACACACACACACACACACACACACACACACACACACGCACACTGCCCCTGGAGTCGCCTATTCTAAATTCACATTTCCTTATCGCTCACATATCACACATAAATTCTGTATGGATGGTGTCTTAAGAATCTCCAAAAATGTTGTGATTCTGTAGTAAAACATGATGCAATCATTTTATTCACAATAGAAAAGATATCAAATTGTTAAATTGAGAAAATTTACATTTTCTCTTTAGCAACTACATGGGCTCCAGAATGCTACGACTAAGTTCCCTTTCTGTTACTTGGTTGTAGAGTTTTATTTCCAAAGGTGGCAAAAGTACAGATACTTGTGTAAAAAAAGTACTCCACTTCTTTACTCAAGTAAAAGAGATACTCAAATGGCTCAAAGTAAAAAAGTAAAAAGCAGCTCTTTAAAGAACATTTCTACCAGCTACTTTTTGTGCAAAAGAAACTGAACCTTGTGCGACATTAATGTAAAAATAAAAGATTGTTGTAGTGGTGTGGCGCAGCAAATGCAAGTTTTCAGTTTGAAAAGTTGCATTTGCAATTACCTGCCACTTAAAAAAAATGTATTCCCTTTATGCTTCCTCCTCTTTTGTTAACTATATGCTGACCACAACTTATGGACAACAAAAGCACCATTCAGCCCACTTTAAAACCTGAGCGCGTGTTATTATTCCTTTTATTTAAATTAAAATAAGTTTGAGATCCCAAAAGCAAACTGTGAAAGAAAATCATTTCCCCCAAATTATATGTATGACTATACAGTTAACTATACAAACTGGAGAGTCCGTCATAGACCTCGTGCTCCACTTT